ACCTAAACCTAACCCCTAACCCTAAACGTAATCCTAAACCTAACCCTAAAACTAACCCTAAACATAACCCTAAACCTAACCCTAAACCTAACCCTTACCTTAAGTTAAATCGGCTTGCTGTCCACGTGCTGTTGTAAAGCGCCCTTCTGTCTCCGCGCTGTTGTCGCCGCGTTGATGATGTCGTGGTTTTAGCGACGCGGTTTAGTCGGACGCAGTTTTGTCGTTCGCCCTTTTGTCGGGTCACGGATTTCATGGAGGGCTGCCTCAGGGTTATGTTTCACGTTGGGGGGCTGGGGTGGGCGTGGCCAGGATGAGTGTGGTCAACTCAACATCACTCTTGTTGTGGAGGGGGCTGTGGTGGCCCGAGTGCTCTGCCAGCGAAAACGGGCTCCCAAGCTCCATTTTCAGCTGCAACAACCTCCTGCAACCCTCTGCCAGCAAAAACGAAGCTTGGGAGTGCTGCTCGTGGACCTCATGAGCTCCGTTTTCAGCTGCAGTGGCCTACTGTAAACCTCTGCCCGTAAAGATGGAGCTCAGGAGGGCCCCACGCAGCCCTCCAGAGCTCCATTTTTGCTGACAGAAGCACTGCGGACTGGTCCTTTGCTGTTTTCAGAGTGGCCCCATGGGCCAGATCTAAGCACTCCATTGACTAGGTCCAGCCCCCAGGCCTTGAGTTTGACACCCCTGTCCTAGAAGACATAAAGATGGGGATGCTATTGTGTATGTTCTATGGGGGTGAATGCTAATATTCTCTCTTTCAGTTGGAGTTTGAAGACTTTGCTGTTGAAATCAGCCAGGATTGTATTTATGATGCTGTTGTTGTTTATGGAGACACCGAAGAAGACCACCAGCTAGGTAATAACTGTTTTGACTTGGCAAGGTGGACCTTGTCCATTGACTTTTGAAGATGCTGTGGATTATATTCTGAAAGAAAATAAAGCAAATGGACAGGGGTGATGGACAAGAGATAGCAGACCAAAGTAAAATGTCTCTGGTTTAAATCATTTGTCCCCAAAATCTTGAATCAACCTTCCTGAGGTGATTTAGACCAGCGGTCACCAACTGGTGGTCTCCAGAAAAATTATTTGCATTTTTTAATGCACTAAATCAGATGTCCTCAAACTACAGCTCCCGGGCCAGATACCAGGGGCAGAAATTCCAACTTGAGGTCTTCAGCCTCCTGGTGCGACTCTTTGGGCAAAAGCTGGAGAGAAACGCCACTGGTGGCAAAGAGCCAGAAGGCCTTGTTCCAGTGGGATTGTATCATGGCCTGGAACTAGCTAACCCTCTCAGCCTGCTGAGCCTCCAGGCACCAGTACCTGGCCTTGCACTCCCGCAGGTCTTCCCTCTGCTTGGAAAGCCTATGCTTATAGTCCTCAGTGAGGTGCTTCTGCTGATCCTCCTTCTTGGTCGGATCCAATTTGAACTGAGCTGTTTTGCCAACTCTTTCTCCTGGTGGCTGCTTCCTATTGGGGCCCTAAGGAGCCTGGGCGGGCAGGCAAGGAGTGGCTGGGAGGGGAGGGGGGAGTAGGGGCTGGCGAGGTGCCCCTTGATGTGAGTGACATCAAGTTAGCCACGCCTACCCAGTCACATGACACCTGGCTCTTCTGACCCCCTCCTCCATCCAGTAACAAATGCCAAGACAAGCTTAACTGGAATGTCACAGCATTTTATTAGCAAGAAACCAAAACCTCGGTGGCTGAAAGCCAAGCATAACAAACAGATAAGAACCTTGGCAGCAACTCAGACTTCGACAGATAACATTTTCTCCAGCGTTAGGAATGATGTTGAATCCTGCAAAACCAGGTTCTTCCCAGTTGCTCTTTAAATACTATCTTGAGATGAGCCTAATTACAATCACCTGGGTCCAATTATCTTTTGTAACTGCGTAGCT